TCATGGAAAAAGGAGTGTCTGGTAAATAGAGATATACAGTGGAACAAAATGGACGGGAGCGAAAACGGGATAGAAAAGAAGGAAAGAATAGAATAATAAAGAGAGGGTAAAAAAAAAAAAACGAAGATGAAGAAATAAAAAGAAAAAAAAGAAAACAAGGAATAGTAAAATACGGAAGGGAAGATTAAATGCGAAAAAATGATCAAAAGTAGTAAACAAAGAAAAGAGGAGAGAAATAAAACCGAGGAAGAAATAAAAGAGAATAGGAAAGACGTGTAGAAAAGAAAGAAAAAAGACGAGAATGATAAAAGAAAATACGAGAAATGCAAAAGAAAAAGAAAGTGGAAAAAAAAAGAAAAAGAGGAAGTAAATGACATAAAGAAGAGAAAAGAAGAAAAAAAGAGAAGTAGAAAGAATTGAAGGAAAAATAAAAAAGAGGAAAAAAGAGAAGAAAAACATGCATACTCAAGAAGAGATTAAAATTATAGAATAAAGAAGGAAATATACAGATATAGAAAGAAAAAAGAATTAGAGAAGAAACAGGAATCAAAACTAAAAAAAGGAAGGAAGATGTTGAGAAGAAAACGGATCAGAAAAAGAACAAAAGAAAGAGAATGAAAGAAAGAAGAAGACAAAATAATAAAAAAGAGGAAGAAGATAAGTAATAAAAAAAAACAGGATGTAAAGAAGTGCAATAGAAAATGAAGTGAAAAAAAGACGAAAGGTAGAAAAAGAAAGTAAAAAAGAAGAAAAGAATAAAGACGGAGAAAAAGAAGTAAAAGAAAGCCGAAGAAAGCGACGAGAATTAAAAAAAAGAGTAAAAGTGAAGAATTAGTAAATGAAAAGGAAAAATAGAAAGGTAAAAAAAAAGAAAGTGATTAAAGTTTAAAAAAAGAAAAGAATTTAAAATAACGTTAAAGTAAAAGAAAGAGAAATTGTAAAAAGATCAGACCGAAGGGGAGAATAATTTAAAAGAGGATAGAGAGTGGAGTTAGAGAAAGTAGAAGTGATTAATTAGAAAAAGAAGAGGAAAAGTAGAGAAAGAAAAAAGAAGCAATGGCTGAGAAATTAAAAGAAAAAGGGTAGAATTTAAAAAAGAGAATAAGAAAGAAAAAAATTAAAAAAAGAATTGAAAAATAGAAGAAATAATAAAATAAAAGAAAACGAGAAGCATTAAAAACGAAATGGTAAATAAGAATTACGAAAGAAAACGAAAAGAGAAAAATTAAAAAAAGGAAATGAAAAAGCGAAGAATTATAAAAGAAAAGGAAAAGAGAAAAAAATAGAAAAGAAAATGAAAAAGAGAAGAATTAAAAAGGAAAAGAGAAAACTTAGGAAAAGAAAAGGAAAAGAGAAGAATTATATAAAAAAGAGACAAATTACAAAAGGAAAGAAAAACGAGAAGAATTATAAAAGAAAAGGAAATGAAAAGGATTAAAAACGAAACTGAAAAACGAACTAAAAATAAAAGAAAAAAAGAGAAGAATTAAAGAAAGAAAAGGAAGACGATAAGAATAAGAAAAAGAAGAGTAAAATAATTATAATTATTAAAAAAAGAAGTAGGAAGAGACAGTAATGTGAATTAAAAAAAAATTAAAAGATTAATCAGGAAGGGAAAGCTAAAGGCGAAGAATTAGAAAAATAAGGAAAATTAGAAGATGAACAAAAAGCAATGAAGGAGAAATTAAAAAAAGAAAAGGATAACGGAAGAATTAATAAAAGAAGAGGCAAAAGTGGATGATTCAAAAATGGCTGAAGAAAAAAATGAGAAGTCGAAAAGAGAGGGAAAAGAAAAGTAGAAAAAAAGACGTCAAAGGAGAATCCGGAAAAGTGGAAAAGAAGCAGACAAATAGAAAAAAAAGGACGAGCATTTTTTAATCGAGGGTAAAATATCGGTAGGTATGAAAAAAAAATTTTAGAGGGGACATTTTGAAATCAGGAATTATTACCATACTACAGGGCTACATCCCTGTGCTGGTGGTATCACGGCTACGACTGGCTTAGACCAGCTTGGACCAGCTATGATCAGCTAAGACTAGCTATGACTAGCTTAGAACAGCTCTGACCAGTTTGGACAAGCTATGACCAGCTAAGACCAGCTTAGACCAGCGGCCCAAGTGAAAACACTCGGGTCCCCACGTTAAAAACTGACCTTGTGTCACAACCTCACTCAGTGGGGGGTCAAGTAAATATCCATACTATGTCTTATATATATCAGTATGATTGTCATACTCACAAACCCTATACTTTGAAACCACCGTCTTTCTTGATACATATCTCGTGGTTTTCGATCGCCTTTTAAGAATTTTAAACAGTGTCCGTCATTCAATCAGTAGGAGTAGATTTTTCACATTCATTCACTAGTTAGTTTATATTTCAATGTTAATCCTAATTATGGGATATTTATCTGCCGACGAGTTTCTTTAATTACCTGGGTTTCTTTTGTCAGTTCGAAGAATTTATGAACATCCTTTCTTTCGTATCAAAGACAGCCAGATGATATCAATCTCTATGCTAGGTCTATGAGAGAGTTTTCACTGTATAATATGTGCGCTGATTCTTACTGTTATCTTATAATACAATGTTATTATTTTGACTTCAAATTATCGGGATTGACACCCACATTTACTGTCAACGTCAGTTTCAAATAACGTTCCACGGAATACAGCGTTTTGATTTGTCTTCAATTTACCTTTTAGAAACAGCTGATTCTGCCCTTGTATTTCTTGTTTCAACTGCATGGGATGGAATATATACTGTTCTTGGTCAAGTTTTCTTCTGAGAGGACTTGGTTAAGGAGAAAAAACACCAAGGAGTCAAACTTTGTTTGACGACTGACCTGGTAATATACGGATGACAGGTCTTCTGAATACTTTCTGTTGTACCCCTTAAGTGTGGTAGACTGATTGTAGCAGTTTTTTTTTCTACTCAACAATTATGTCCCTGTATTTGTAGACTGATGTAGGCAAGGTATGTGATATGCTGAAGGATGTTTTAAATGCTAATTATATCAATGTGGGTGTATGCCTGATCTCCACCTACGTGTTTTGTTCGAAGAGCGAACAATTCCTTTCTTGTCATTGTTGAAAATGGTGTTCAGATATCGTTTGGTGGATGCTAACTTATGATTATCCGATGTTACTTCTAGAATTTATAAGTACATAGAGACTGCTTAGTTGATCTATGTTTACTTATTCCACTGTAAACATGGACCGATGCTGAACCATACTTCGTTAACGGTTTTCTTGGGTTTATCAGTGCCCAGCAAGTTATCCTTGCCGATTACAGAAATATTCACGTCAGTCTTGAAATGAAGTGCAATACGCATGACAAAGTAAAACCGGCAATTGCTCTCAAAAATGAACTCAAATCAGTTGTTAATTGGGAAAAGTAATGGCCTGCAAATTTTAACGCCTCTAATGCTAATCTTTAATCATCGTAAACAACTATGATTTTTACCTCATTCAGCCTGAAGAGCAATTCGTTGCACCTTCTTAGTTAAGCATTTTCTTTTGATATGAAGTAGAATTAAACATTCCACTTCATGTCAATAGAATATTGAATCAATTTCTAAGTCTGCTTCGAAGAAAGTTGATTGAGTGCCGTGCCAAACAATTTTTCTGGCCAGAATCCATCCTGAACATTTATAAGTCTACAATTCGACTGTTCCATGGAATATCGCTGTCATATCTTTTCTGGTGTTCCGGATATATATTACGAGCTTCTCGGAAGATTACTGTCATGGCCCGGTTCCTTGTACCCCGGGTGATAGTCCAAGGTAGAACCAATAAAGAAGAACTCGAACACGGATATGAAATAACACAGATATATTACAAACAGGAATATATACAGAGAAGTAGAAGTGTTAGTATTAACAATCAGTTTTAGTAGAGAGAACAATGTAGTCTCGACCAGCATCACTATTCCAATGTCTTGCAGTAATTGTCTGAACGCGACTCTGTTTCGGACTGCCTCTGACTCGACTCTTGACTCGACTTGCACTACTGACTCGACTCTTGACTCGACTTGCACTACTGACTCGACTTGAACTACTGACTATATTTAGTCACCCCCCCCCACGTGGGCATCATGTGGCACAAGGCCCGTGGGCTCGGCCAAAAATATGCCCATTGAACCCGTATAAACGGGTTCAGGGTCGTTTTACCTCCCCAAAAGAGAATACGCCCTTCGGCGTAGCCTCCTTCGGGTTCCTCCCTGCCCGAAGTTCAACCGATCAGCCGGTCGACCGAGATCGACTTGAACTACTGACCCTTGCCTAATCCCGAGGCGCAGTATTTATTAAGTATGGAATCGTCCATTATTATTATTATTATTATTATTATTATTGGTACGATCCCATAACAATAACAAGGAGTGTGTCATATTAACGGTCCTGACCTGGCATCTAATTTCAGTCTCCTGGCCACTGCCGTGACGTGACTCTCTGTCTTTTCTGTAAATATTGGTAAATTAGATTAAAATATATTTAATTTATATATATATATATATATATATATATATATATATATATATAATACAACATTTATATTTCTAAAGTAACATCTTTTGTATCATTATCCATACATCATCATTTTTAATTTTTCTAATTTTACTTTTCTTATTTATCTGTATTTAAAATTCCTTCATTTATACTCGATATTATTATCATTACTGCAATTTGAATTTATTATTTATTTTAAGGACCCTTTTATTAGACTAACTAATTTAGAATTGGGTTGATTTGTCCTGCTAAAAATAGCAGGTCATATCTATGTACTAGTGAGTTATACCGAATGACTTGACTCACTTTATAGTCCACCAATAGAAGATTAACCAATCAGAAGACGTAGAACATTCAATCCGTCGTGTATAAAGGCGGCCATTTTGTCTACTCTACACTAATGTCCAGTTCCAGCTTGTCAGGCGAAGAGAAACAGAAAGACGAACTACGCTCTGCTACTTTTACCAAAATATCCACTGCTAACCTGAACAACGCTTTCCTACTGTCTTCGAAATATTCACTGCTAACCTCTGGATTCTATACTGAAGACGACCGTCATCATGACATATATATATATATATATATATATATATATATATATATATATATATATATATATATATTTGTTTGGATTGATGTTAGCTCTATCTCAGGTATTGAGAGCTTTCTAATAAATACCGCGCATATAATATATAAATAATAATACATATAATATATTACACATATTTATATATTCATATACCTCTTTTCACACACACACACACACACACACACACACACACACACACACACACACACACACACACACACACACAATAGTTCGAATTATGTAAATAATGTACATAATACCTCATCTCAGAAATATAGACAGATACTCCCATAATCCTTGACTTCTATTCATCTTTGGAGTTGCAAGGGGATTCTTTGCTCTCTCTCTTCCTCTGTCTGTCTGTCTGTC